TTTGGCTGTGAAAATCACAAAATAGCGCGAGTATTGCATGTGCATGACCATTTCATGTGCTAGTAATTTTGGTATTTGCTGGACAAACTCGTCGTCATTCTAATCTATCCCAAGAATCAGCTGACTTTACCTTTTTTGTAATACTGCCGGAGACTACGCGACAACTTATCGTAGTTCATCTGTGCGCGATTCTTGCGCTGTCCCCAGAATCTGGCCAGATGATGAGAGGATTCAATCTTGAATGTTCCTATAACATAATTAGACATGAGTGAACGCTACTACTGATCTGTCGGAAACTAGTATGCAAGCAGGAGAACTTGTTCAAAGTTGCTCACCCTCGTCGCGATCCACCCAACGAACACACGATCCATATTGTTTATTGGGATGGTCAAGTAATTCACGGATGAAGTGCCAGAGGTGTACGGTACCAGAGTGTCGAGGGAACGGTGAAGGACGTTGTTCTTCTGTCGGCGGTGTTTGCGCAGAGTTCATACTAGAAGCAACAGTTTAGATTGAAAGGGACTTGAAAGTAGCTATGGCGCGGAAGGCTGACTTCATTCCGTTCATCTGACCGCAAAATCGCATTCCATCTTGCTGCATCTGAAGCATACTTTGGATGTCGACACAATCCTCATCGCCCACTGAAAACATCGGTTTATCACCACGGACAAAAGACTTACATACTAGAGTGCAAGTAATCGAGCACTAACTGTCATGCATGCTCGCTGTACTGCTTCTATCACTGTCACTCGGCGATGGTAGTACACCGTTTCCGAAAAATGCATGTCCATCCGGAGCTGCTGTTCCAATAGCCCCTAAGAAAATTTGTACGCTCCCAACGGAGTAGTGATTGAAAAAGATTCGGCAACATACCATTGCCAAAATATTGCTGTTGCTGCATCTCATTAACCGGATATTGCTGCCCAAAGACACTAGCATTCTTCATCTGTTCACCACCTATCATTGTTTGACCAGGTACCATCTTAAATGTGTTTATTTT